CGCGCGCTGCGCCGAATGGCCGACAGAGGGCGCGCGGGGAGCGAGGGAGGGCGCGCCGCGGGAGCGCGCCTGTTCCCCACCGGCGCCGCGCCCGCGCCGGCTCCTTCGCGTTCGGTTTTTGTGGGAGCGCTCCGGGATGTGGCACGCGAGGTGACGTGTGGGCTGCTCCCGCATTTTCATCCCCGCAAAGCGCGTTCAAACCTAACGGTCGCGTTACATCGCCGTGTACCGCGTGCACAAAATAAACAGAAACAATTTTAACACAGGTTCCTACCGTCGGGCAGGGTCTGGCTTACGGATTTGGTTCTCCACGCACAGCTGAATTAACTGAAACGATACAGTAATTCTATGTCCCCACAGTGAGTATCGAGAATAGTTAAAATCTTGATCCTCATCCTTATCAAGCTTCAGCCCTGCATGATCCACTAACTATCATAACTGATTGCCATGACAAACTGAAAAAGACTACTATGCCTTGCTCATGAAACGGATTTAAACATTAGCACGTAAAACAAAACTGCTGGTATTCCCCTGATATGTGCTTCACAGAGACTGTAATAGTAGAATTCCTTAAAAAAGGAGAATATGGCCATTACTTCATAATGTATACGCACATTCCTTTTGATTTCAAGCACCGCTCCAGCCTTTCCACCCACTTTCCTCAAGCTTTCTTTTGTTTAAATATTGCTAATACCACCTTAAAGAGAGTCTAAACTCACGTGTAAAAATGCTGTGAGAAAACACAGTTGAACATTAGGCTTCAAATTTAAACGATGAAAATATCGCATCTATTCTTTAAAAGGAGAGGGAAAGTAAAGTTGGTTCACATGTTGTAAGTTTACAAAAGTTCAAAATTCAAGTGATCTTTAAGGTGGACCTTTCTGAATTTTCAATGGATCTTCAAAATCTGTCAATTCAACAACACTGGCAGTGACTGTGCTGCCATTTTAAAAGAGCTGATCTAAAATTTCATTGGGAATACTGTCATGACAAATCTAGCTCTCCTTTTTGAACAAACTGATCACAAACGAACTACTACTCTCTCCAAACACAACCTAGGTATGTCACATCCTGATTTTGTACCTTTTATTATCCTGTTATGCTGTCATTTAAGGTGGATCCTGGTCCTATTAGACCAGACAACAAACACAGTAAGCAGCACAACTGAAAACACTGAGGCTGTGAATTTCTCACAAAAATTCACAGAACTTTCAAAAATCACAAGCATGGAAAACATCTCATGGTGATATCTGTATAGATATAGAATCATAGAATCATAGAATCACAGAATGGTTAGGGCTGGAAGGGACCCTCAAAGGTCATCTAGTCCAACCCCCCTGCAAGGAACAGGGACATCTCCAACTAGATCAGGTTGCTCAGGGCCTCGTCCAACCTGGCCTTGAACGTCTCCAGGGATGGAGCACCCACCACCTCTCTGGGCAACCTGTTCCAGTGTTCTACAACTCTCATGGTAAAAAATTTTTTCCTAATATAGAGGGCTATAATAAATCACATAATTTTTCCAGATACAGCAAAGCTGAGCAAGTACTTTGGGAATCGTCATTTTACCAGATGTAAGCCTAAGGATGCTTTCTTTGGTTAACTATTTGCATACTTAAAGGGCCCACAACAATCTATCAACATAGTACCCTATTAAATCAGTTAATACACTTTATTACACATTAGTAGCAAATATCTGTATTTATGTATAAATTTTTTAAAATACATTCACATATATTTCCCATATACAAACACTTTGACCAGTGCCAGCTAATCATGACTACACAAAAGTAACTATAAAATTTATAACTTTATTGACAATATACTCTTCTTTATGGAACATTATGCTAACTAATTAAATCTGTATTTTTAGAAAGTAATTATTCTAGTATTTGCACCATACAACTTCTTCGTGGAATTACTGCAAAGAAATCCTTAGAACACAGGGAAAAAAATGCTTTCTATCTGCATCTTTTACCCTGGAACATTTTATCACTTTTATTGACATAAAGTCAAGAATATTTTTCGCTATCTATGCAGAAAGATAACTGTAAGACATAAGATCTCTATATAAACACATACATTTATATGTATTTATAAAAACCTCTCTGAGAAAGGCTTAGGAAGAAGTCTGCCTGATTTAAATGTTATGTTTGATAGTGCAGTGCTGCAGGATTACTGTTGTGTATCATAAATAAATGGCAGTATCAGGGAATTTTAAACACACATAGCAGAGAAAAAAAAAGGGCATGAAAAAAACCAATATTACCTATAGAGACCTATGAGAAAATCACAAAAAAAAATTCAAGGCAGAATAAGACACTTTGTGGGACAGCTAGCAATCAATGTAAACATCAGTGTTTCCTACCAAAAATAAAAAATTAAAAAGAGGCAGTATCAAACTAATACAGTAAGATTGCATTCCAGTCATTTGGTTTTGATATTAACCGCAAAGACGAAAGAAATCCCTTTGGAAAGCTAATTTGAAAGTAAATATGCCTAAAAGTTAAACATACAACTTGTATCAATCTCAGAACAGAATCAAGACCATTATTAAAATAACGCCTGGGGCACTTTGTGATGCCTACGATTGGTGGGTGGATTTTAATTGACTTGAAGACTGTCATAGTCCTATTATCACAAAACTTGCAACGCACTTCCAGCATGGAGGACCCATCTGTGCCCACCATCCATCTGTTCAGACGTGATTGGCAAAGTGGTAGGGAACTCGCAGTGGTTGCCTCTGCCTGAAAGGAATAAACCACAGGATCTTCCAGCGAGTGCCAAAAACTTCTGAGAAGGTCTGCTGCCACGGCTTTCGGGGCCTCGATCTACAGAAGACAGCATTATTAGTGAAAGACAGCACGCCCATGGTGCACTTCAGTCAGCTAGAACAATGCAGGTTGGCTGGGGATCCATTACTGGACTCTGATGAATTGTGTCCCAGCATCACAAATACAGCTTTTCTTTCATTACAGCATGCAGCTCAGACGTAACTTTGGAGAAGAGAAACTATCTGTGTCGTCAATCAACCGAAGCTGACTTTTGAAGCAGAGGAGAACCTCAGAATCAATGAAATGTATGTCAAGACACAGCAGAAAGTGTCTTTTGATCTGTACTTTTGAAAGAAAATACAGTTCCACGGGCTTTGGAAGGAATGGGAACAATGTGAGGCTACTTTGTGTACAACCAATATTAAAAGACCAGTGAGCCGCTGCTAGAGATAGGAAGTACAAAGCACAGTTACCACGCGAAATAACCCTAACAGTGCCTTCTGTTCTTTTTCTCTCTTGCACAGCTAAAAAAGCAGCTACTCCTTTCGCCTTTCAGCAAATAAACATAGACATTTTACAGCACTTACGTGTCTTCACAACAGTTTGACATCTTTTCTATACTTGTCGTGTCCTGTTGAACAAAAGAAAACGCAATGAAAAAGTATTTCTTCACACTCCTAACTGTTAAAATGTCATTATGAAAGCAACTAAATAAAGCAGGGAATCCATCCTCAGCGTACACTGCTTTGGCATTAGTCCAGCAGGTTACCTATTACTCACACGCCATATCAGTTTTAAACAGCTGTGAGATTACACGTGCAAATTTATTCCGTTAAATGATTTTTACAGTCATGATGTGAAAGTATACTGGGCAGTTTTACCATGATGTGAAAGTATACTGTGAAGTTTTACTAGGACAGCACATACCACAGAACATCAACGAAAACTTACAGCATTATTACAGCTAAAATTAATTCAGATATTGCAAGGAATTCATGGGACATTTAGAAGCAATGTGTGTAAGGTACACTCTTGCCATATTTTTCACAAGCACCCATACCAGACTTGGAGTACTCAACTGAGATAACCACAGGAAAACTTAGTAAAACGCAACCACTAATAGAGGTAGTATTTTGAAAAGCAGGAGGTATTAAGAAGTTTAAATATAGTTATCTTCGTCAGTATTATAATGCAAACAGCACCACTAGGAATACGCCATCAGTTTCCATAGTCCCCACAGGTAAATACCAAATTCAAAAATTATTCTTTTAAAATGTAATAAAAACTAAATAACATGCAGAGAAGACGGCATCGCTGCAGCTAACAGTAAATTGAATTCATACTTTACTTTTCTGGACATGATTAATTGAATGAGTCACAAAGTTTTAAAATTAACAAATCAACTTGAGCTCAGATCATTCCTAAACAAAGCTTTTAAAACTACCAACAATAGTACTTTTTTTCTCACTTTGCATTACATATTTAACAAAAAAGCTTGTTTTGTGAGTATCTCTTCAACTTTAACTCCAGCAGTATTAGTGTTTTCAATGTCCATTTGTAGCTCATTATGTACCCAAATCACTCACGAGGTCCAAAATACAATAATGGAAATATTTCTCACGGCTCCACCTCCTTTTCATAGCAGCCTGCTATTGCCCTTGACTGTTCATGGATTTAGGCATGCTCATAATGCACCTGTGAGATTACACCAGCCTTTGAATGAAACCAAGAGGTGGTCTCTATTGTCCCGGCCATACAGACACAAGGGCTGGGGTTTAATTAGGCTGCGACTTCGTTGTCATCTGGAAACACCACCTAGCAATAAAAACATACTGTGTTCCCTGACTGTTCCACCATCAGTGCATCCAATTCAGGGCAGGCACTGCTGGGATCCTCCCACCATCCTTCATAAAGGTTTGAAGGGGAAGGGTAAAATGTGTGTGAGGAATAACGTACAGGAAGCTGCCTTCCTGCTTTGCCAGACATGGGTGGCCCCAACTCTCCTTGCCAAATTTTCTCCTTCTAAATCCGCTTCCCAGCTCTGATGAGTTTTGGAACATGGTCCCTTACCACATGCTAAAAAGCAAGAATCTTAATTCTGCCCACAACCTACCCAGCTGAATTTCAGAAGCACTATGGCAAAGGAGAGAAGCCCCCTCTTCTCACGCCAACGCACCAGGAGGCACAAGTTCTGTTTGTGCAGAGAAGTCATGCCCACAGCGGACTACACAAACCATTCCAGCCCCATCGTTAGGTGAACTGGAACGACCACTCAACAGTGGGAGAGGACAGGACTGGAAGCAGCAGGCTGTAAATATTGTCTCGTTTCGATGCCCATAGGTAAACTGCTGCTCCTCTCCACTTTATGGGCCTGTCTAGCATATTCCCCTTCACCTGCCACAGGTGGCAAGTAAGCATTACAAGTCACAAGCCACTCTCCTTGCTAAAGGTTGGACCTGGCTGCACAGCCAAGGGACGTTCTGCTTCCTTGGGCGGGCTTTCTGTCCAACTCTTCTCAGAACCAACACCACTTTTTCTGACCACAGAAAATTACACACAGCTTTCTGAATAAAAAAGACTAAATAAACACAGACATTACTTCCACAGCATTCCAGTGAGGTTTGAACAGCATTTTCATGACCTGCTGTAGCTCCTTCCGTAACTGCAAAAACATCTCACCTCTAGGAATTATCCTCTGGTCAACTTAAAGCTGTCTACCTGACAGTAAAAAATAATGTTGGTATGCTTGAGAGCAATCATTGCTAATGATTTTTTGTACAACAGCAGGCTAGTCCAGACTGTAATTGATTTTTAGCTGTCAAAGATTTATGCTATCATTTTACAAAAGGAGCCTTAAATTGAAACAGCTTTGGGTACAGAAGTAACATAACAAAATAATACCTTAAATATGGCTTTTTGCTACGTTTCTCCACATTGTTTATTCATTAATACATTTGTACTGCTGCCTAAAATACTGTATTTGAGATTTTTGGAGGAATTCCTAGGTTGAGAACTGGGGGCTGTATTTCTGTTTAATTGTTATCATGGCATGTTACCAAGACCTGAAAGATGCTCAACAGGGTCTGCTTCTCTCAAAATTGTAACCCATTAAATTAATGAACTAAGTGAAAACACCAAAACAGGAGCTGCAGAAAATGACTGTAAGAAAAGACTGTGAAGCTTCCACACCTTTAAAACATCCTAAGGATTTCAGTTGGACAGGAACTCAAAGGAAATCCTCCCTTCCTTCCTTCCTTCTTCCTCCATTAAAATGCCAACATCTACTTTGGAATACTTTTGCTTTACAGTAAAGGAACTGGAACTGAGCAGTGAATCCTTTGCTTCTGGGATACTTTTTCAGAATTAAAAAAAATAAATTTATAGCCACATTTTAAAAGCTGTGAACTAGAGCTGTGAGGGAATGGGAGGAAACATCTCTGAAGTGTGGCTGCTTAACAAGTGCTGGTGACTGAACTTAAGAAACCAAACTCCCCTCACAGCCTCCCTCCCCCAACACTGCTGCCAAACAGCTGGGCTCATTTGAAATGTACTTTCATTTGAGAGTGAACCAGTTTACCTTTTCACTCGAAAGTGAAACTTCACAGCACCCCAGGAAACTCAGGAGCCCCTCCAGAGACAGGAGAGGAAGGAAAGGGAGAGGGCCACAGTAGAGTTTTGGCCTATTATTCCAGACTTTCTTCTCAAACAGACGAATTTTTCTTCTTTTAGAGACGGGATGACCAGAATAACCACTATTCTTCTGAATGACAAGGTGTTCTGTTCATCAGCACATCTCACGAATGGCTTTCAACCAGAACATCATCTGTCTTAATTACGCACTTGATGTATACCAAGGTTTTGCTACAACATCAGCATTACTGTGTTCAGCCTAAGAGGCTTTGGCTGTCTGCATCTACTATCAGCTTGGATTACTATTAATACAAATAGAACTCTGCTAAGATTTCAAACCCCTCCCCAGACCCACAGCTAATGCTGGTTAAAATCTTTTAGAGAATTGGCACTCATGTAAAAGCTGAAAATAACTTGGTATGAGCAAACACGACATATCTAATTGAGTTCTAGTCATTTCTTATCTCCAAAAATCCCATAAAATTTAAAATTGCATACAAGACAAAACCAGCTAACCCACAACTGGTTAATTTCACATGATAGGTCATCTGGACCCCCAAAGTCATCATCCAGATTGGAAACAATTATTGTTCCTGCACTTGGTCATTCAGACATAACATACTCACTGATAAGCATCTTGAAGCAACTAGGGAAAAAACATCACACCTTAGTGAGAAAGGCAAAAGAAATTAGAGGAAATAAACACAGCGATTGTTAACAAAATACCATTTTAAAACAAGAGGAAAAGTGTAAAGGGTTCAGATTCTCCCAAGGGGATGAAGAACGGGTTTTTTTTTGCTTTGAGGGCTTACTACAAGTCTACACGAGCAGCTTGTCTAGTCTAAGTGCAGTAAGCTACTGCCACAGCTAAGACTGTTAAGAAAGCAACAGAGAGATATATGTAAGAGCACCGACTGAATTCTGCAGACCAACTTAAGATTCACCTGCAAATGAATGCACCTGCATTCGCTACTAAGAGGAATATATCTTCCACATCTATATATTTAATTAGCATAACCAACTGCCTGAAAAAAAAATTTTTTTTAAAAGATCATATGCATTGTTTAACAAACTGCGCTATAAGCTGGGATTCATCATGAACTAATTTATCATGGAAAGAAGCACACGGAAATTATATTTCCCTCTTACTGAGTCATGTCTTCCAAAGGAGAAGCTGTAATTTGTACTCACAGGACTACCTCTGAAGCACAAAGCAACAAGTTCTGGTTCAATTTTTCCTCTGTGTTTGCTTAAAGTGACATGTGATCAATACAGCTCTATTTAATACTTGCAGTAGAAGAATGTAAGCATTATGCCATGCTTTCTTAATACGGTCTTTTCAAATACTCAGTATACAAGAATCAGCAGGATAGTATGATGAAGCAGAAAGAGAGAAAAAACGAACAAAAGCTGCAGGCTTTCCTGGATTTGCAGCCATTGCTGTTATCTGGAAGCATAAGACAACATATCTTCTGTCTGAATAAAAATTTTTTCACTCCTTCTACCTAACATCCTTTTCTTGTGTGTATGTAAATAACAGGTGAGCAACTGACAAATATAAAATACTGAACATCTCATAGAAAGAATATTTCATATTTCAGAAATTTTCCTTTTTGGCATTAATTACATTTTAGGTTTACATTTAGCCACTTGTTAGCATTTTTTTTTTTTTATCTACACTTTTCACATAAGATAATATGATTAATTTTATCAATTATAATTAGGTTCAGCCTGAAACTTACTAGTTCAGTTTTAGCTTTAAATGTCTCAATCAGACAACTGTGTGCAAAATGAGAAATGAAGCTACACTATGCTATATCTAGGGAATACTCCTACACTTCTCTATGCTCTGATGAATTCAGTTGAATAGATTTCCAAAGTACTTGTCAGATATTAGAAAACGATTCAACAAAAACATCTGATGACAAACTAGGAACTCATCTACAAAGATGCGCTTCTCTTCAGTCGAAATCCACGGTGTGTTAGGTGTATGACTGCAAT